GTGGCAATTTAATCGCGACAAGGTCACACGCGGACTCTTCAGCCTATCAGCTCACCACCTCGCCTTCTCTGTCGCTCTCCTGGCCCAGGCCCATCAGTATCAGGTCTGAGCTGTCCCAAACCGCACTTACCTCGGGTCTTCAAGCTCACACCGGCTCGTGATGCCACGGAGAGGGCTCCGAGATTGTCCCCGGTGGACCCCATCCGAGCCGATTGCGAGGGCATTACGGAGGTCATTATCGGCGCCATCGACTGTGAAATGTCCCGACCCACAGCCCTCATGCACTAGGCTCATGGATGCAGTCATAATATGTAGGCCTTGTCTCCCGAAGTTTGGAGCAATAGCCGCAAATAGTACTTTTTGGCACTTCATCGCGACACGTCCAGGTGCCGACAAAGCGGCTTCCCAGCTGACCACCTCGCCTTCTCTGTCGCTCTCCTGGCCCAGGCCCATCAACAGCAAGTCTGAGCCGTCCCAAACCGCACTTATCTTGGGTGATGAAGCTCACTCTGGCTCATACCACGGCTCTGCAGCCTCACACACGCCCGTTTCAGCCACAGACACCGCCGGCACGCACTCCCACTTCACACACGCTCAAGCACAACCCCATCAAAGCACATCCCTGCTCAGAATGGGCAAGGGCTACCACCTGGTGACCCTGGTAGCCTCTGGCTCGCCACTGCACTCGGCTCCTCTGCAGCGGTCTCGGCTCTCGCCACTACAGCACGCCGACGGCAAGCTTTGACGCCCGTCTGGTGGACCTGCTGTGGCCACAGCCGCCCCTGACATGCATCTCGCACCATGACTCGACACCGGGCCCGCTCAGCTTGGTCGTGGCGGCGTGTGTGAAGGATGCGCGGCCGAGCCGCTGGCTGGCGCCGCTTGAGCGTCCGAGATGGCCGCAGCAGAGGCCACGCGTCGCGCCGCCGGCCAATCCCAGCCTCTCGGCGGTCGAGTTGGTCGAGCTGGCGGGCGGAGAGCCGCCAAGAGGGCAGCAGCGGAGCGTGAGAGGCCGTGCGAGCTTGCGCGAAGAGAGCGCTAGCGCTCTGTTCGATTTCAATAGGCGGCCTACCTTGGCCTTTAAAATAAGTACCCGACGGTACCCCTTTTAGACCGCCGCCGCCGGACGGTAGACCGCCTCGGCCGTTTGAATATGCAGCCTCCAGTTCTCCACTCTGGCGCCACTTTGGCAGACGAGCGCCGGCAGATGCCCTCGCGGCCTGCCGGCGAACGTCCGTCCGGCGAGAACGCGCGATGAAAGTGCGGTCTGCCGCGCGGGCGAAATCTGCCGGTGAGAGAGGCTGTTGAGCGCGGTCGCTGTGAGCTTCACCTCATGCCATTTCCGTGCGAGGCGAGCTCCGTGTCTTTTATGAGATCAAATGAACGTCTTTACACACTCATCGGGCGGAACCGCTCACTGCAGAGCGCCGCCCTCTCGCGGCTCTCGAGAGCGAGTTTTCGCCAGACAGCCACACGTCCATTATGGCGCGCGTTCTCGCCGGACGGACGTTCGCCGGCAGGCCGCGAGGGCATCTGCCGGCGCTCGTCTGCCAAAGTGGCGCCAGAGTGGAGAACTGGAGGCTGCATATTCAAACGGCCGAGGCGGTCTACCGTCCGGCGGCGGCGGTCTGCCGTTCGGCGGCGAAAAAGGGGTAGACCAGTCTCCAAGTGCTCCAAGTCTACCGCGGTCTACCAAGTCTACCGGTAGACTGGTGTCGTAGGTTCATTACGGTCTACCGGTAGAACTGGTGTCGTAGGTTCATTACGGTCTACCGGTAGACTGCGGTAGACTCGTGGTAGACTCGTCTACCAAATGGTCTACCGTCTACCCCAGTCTACCCCAGTCTACCGGTAGACGGTAGACGGGCCACCCCTCAGGCTGCGCCGAGCTCTGGTTCGTCCGTCTTTGGGCCGGGAGAGATATATCCAAGCAACCAGGACAACAGGACAAGCGGAACAAGACACTGGCACTTGGAGCACTTGGAGTGCAGTCATTAGCCTCACATCCAGGGCCGGGGAGCGGAGAAGCGCACCCAGCGGGCCGGATGATCGGGAAAAAAGAAAGAAAGAAAGAAAACAGACAACCCAAGGGAGGGATGGGAGGACGGCACGCCGCCACCACACAGGGATTTTAAGGAGAGGTGTGTGGTGCGCTATCCGTCGCCCACCCTAGGGAGTCTGCCTCTTCCTATCTCTCTTCGCAGTCTCTCGCCGATTCTCGCTGCAACCTTCATGCATGGTAGGTAGGTAGGTAGAAAGGTGAAGAACAGCCAGGCTCGGACTGGACACCAACGCGGTATGGGTGGACGCTGGACAGATGATGACGACACGCACGAGCGACACACAGACACAAACAAGCTCACAAGACACACAGCCAGCTGGCTGCCACACACCCTGAGTTGGCGTACACATAACTCAAGGCCACATCCTCCCTGTCGCCCCCCCCAGCACTCCAAGGTGCCAAGAGAAACAAACAAGGGCACAACAAACAACAGACGACAGGAATGCATGATCGGGATCGGGTTGCGGGCAAACGTTTTCGTTTTCTTCAGTGTGCCGGTGATAGTACTAGCACGCGCCAGTTCGCACCTATGTCGAGCCTGTCTGCTGTGAGAGAGAGTTGTTTTGTCTAAATTCTTCGTACAAGTTTCGCGCGTCCCCACGATGGTGGCTGCCCTTGGCGGCTGCCACCGTGGGAGCCGACCTGGAGATCCTCAGCGGCTGCAGCCGCCCGCGGCCGCTGCCGAAGGCACCAGTCGCACGGACTTCAGCTCGGTACACGCGCTGCCGGCCGGTGGGCCACGCTCTGATGGACGACGCTCTGGTGCCCTAGACCAGCGCCAACCCCAACAGAGCTCTCCCGGCCGGCCGCTGCGACGCGACAGCCTGGTCCCCGAGCCTCCTGCTGCTGCCACGGCCCGACCTCCAGGCACAAGGCTCGCCTCGCAGCAGCCCGAGCAGCAGCCCGAGCAGCAGCCCGAGCAGCAGCCCGAGCAGCAGCCCGAGCAGCAGCCCGAGCAGCAGCCCGAGCAGCAGCCCGAGCAGCAGCCCGAGCAGCAGCCCGAGCAGCAGCCCGAGCAGCAGCCCGAGCAGCAGCCCTCGCAGCAGCCCTCGCAGCAGCCCTCGCAGCAGCCCTCGCAGCAGCCCTCGCAGCAGCCCTCGCAGCAGCCCGAGCAGCAGCCCGAGCAGCAGCCCTCGCAGCAGCCCGAGCAGCAGCCCGAGCAGCAGCCCGAGCAGCAGCCCGAGCAGCAGCCCGAGCAGCAGCCCGAGCAGCAGCCCGAGCAGCAGCCCGAGCAGCAGCCCGAGCAGCAGCCCGAGCAGCAGCCCGAGCAGCAGCCCGAGCAGCAGCCTGAGCAGCAGCCTGAGCAGCAGCCCACCTGTGCCTCCGCCTTTGCCTCGACCTCCTCCGCCCCCTCCACCTCCGCAGCCGCCGCCCCTGCCTCTGCCGTCTCTGCCCTCTGCTGCCGCCACTGCTCCTCCTGTGGCGCAACGCCATTCTGTCGCTGTCCTTGTCGTCCCGGCAGGGCGGCCGCTACAAGACTGGCAGGTGCAAGAACCACAAGTGCTGGCGCGAGGCGATTCGGTTCGTCGCAGTCAGCCAGGAGGGGGCTGGCGCCTTCCTGAATGCGATCCCCATGCGGGATGATATGAAGATGGAGACGTGGGCGATGCGCATGACAGTTCAGCGCCGCCTCGGCCTCCCGCTCGATGTTGCCTGCCAGGCGGTGGAGGCGGGCAAGAAGGCGCCAAACGGCAAGCCGCACGAAGAACTCGGCGATGCCGCAATGGTCAACCCGCGTGCGAAGCACGCGACACGACACAAATACCTGCTCAAACGACTCGTCAAGACCCTTCGCTCGGCGTGGGGCATGCTCATCGAGATGGAGCCGACTGCACACCTCAGTTACAGTAACCCAAAACAACCTGACGTGGCGGCGGCGAACATCGGCAAAGGGCATGTGCGCCTCGTTGGCGACTTGAAACTGACGAGCTCGCTTGCGTGCAAGGGTGGCGATCGGCTCGGCTGGAAGGGGGCTTTTGTCGCCTTCGGCAACACCGAGCGGGCGCTGCTCGACTTAGTGTTAGGGCATGCTGCATGGCCGCGGCCGGGAGGGGGGGGGGAGGGGGGGAGGGAGGCGGAGGATGCAGAGGCGGAGGCGGCGGCGGCGGAAGAGGAGGAGGGGGAGAGTGAGGGGGAGGCGGAGGCGGGGGCACCTGTGACGGCCCGCTACGAGAAGGGCGAATACCGGTTCGCGCGGGAGAAGAATTGCGACCTGCGTTTGCTCGACTTCGAGACGTTCGGCGGCTTCGGGGACGGCGTCCGCAGAATTCTTCGGCAGGCGGCGGACCAGCTGAGTAACAAACTTTCGCACGCTCAGCACCTCGATGAGGTCACATGGACCACCAAGAACTGGCACGGGCTGCAGATGCAGCGCTTGTCTGTCGTTCTCCACACCGCCGTGGCGTGGCAGACGGTGAACGAGCTAGCGTGCGGGGACAGCGGCATTGTGCACGGAGCTAAGTGCATTGCCGTTCTTAACGGAGTCGCTTAGGCGGCTCCGGTGGTGTGCCGGTGATAGTACTAGCACGCGCCAGTTCGCACCTGTGTCGAGCCTGTCTGCTGTGAGAGAGAGTTCTTTTGTTTAAATTCTTCAGTCATCAAGCTAGGCCGACGCGGCCCGCAGGGCAAGGTGCTCCCAAGCACTTGAGGCGTTGAGGCATGGCGGTCGTGTCGGACGACCATGCGCATGAACGCTTCTGCGCAGAAGGCCTCTCCCTGCCGGCTTCTGCCTCGCCGCGGGTGATCACGCACGACGAGGTCAGGCAGCACAACGGTCGAGGCGGAGAGAACTTCTGGGCAGTCGTTGATGGATATGTTGTGGACGCTACCGACATGGTCAACTCTCACCCGGGAGGCCTGAAAAAGCTCTTGACGACCGACGCGGCGGGTGTAGGGGCGTCGGGCAAAGCCTTCGGCTTCAGCTTTACGCGCGGCAGGAACGCGCACTTCCCCCAGACCGGCAAGAGCTTTCACGAGGGCGTGCAGGCCTTTCTGAACGGCAGAGGCGAGCCATTTTTGCCTCCCGTCGAGGTGACCTTCTCTTCGCACGGCAAGGTCGTCATACTGGGCCGATTGCAGTCATGATCGATGATGCTCAAGCTAGGTGACAGCGGTCGTGTGAGAGACTGTCGTGTTGCTGGCTGATGCGTGATACGTGTATCACCAGTCTCACAAGCTGTGATGACGAGCAGCCGCAGGGAAGAACACGTATACGCCATAAAATCAATATGTCGAAACTCGAATCAATATGTATGTAACTAACAGCACTGCCGGGAGCGACACGCGACACCGCGGCCCACAGACATCAGACTCCGCCTTCTCTGGATCACGTGGCGTGGCAACGATTGCTCCTTGACAGCACGCCCCCACACCGCTCGCACCTACTTCGCGGCCACGAGCTGCGGCTGCTCCTTGATGGGGAGGAGCGGCGCCTCGAGGACCTCGCGAGCGCCCTGAGCCTGCGGGTCGCGCGCCCGCCGTCCTCGCAGCACGAGCCAGTCGCCGAACCAGGCGCAGTGGCCGAGGGCGAGGAGGTGCGCCACCTGAAGCGCCCACGGCAGGAAGCTGCTTCCGCCGGCGGCCGCCTCCTCGGAGGCGAGCCTCGTGAGGGTGTCGTGGATGACGGTATCGTACAGGGCAGACATCCGAAACGAGCTCATGGCGGCGTCCACACTGGCGTGCGGAAAGTCCCAGAAGGGCGTTCGATGATCGGGGTCCTGCGCCGTGAATTGCACCTGGCGGGCGGGGTGCCTCGCGCTGTACCAGGTCGCCCACGCAAACTGCCACGCCTGGTTGGTGAGGAGCGCGGGGAAGGCGAGCCCGCTCATGCGCGCGAGGTCCGCCAGATAGCTCGGGTTGCAGACAGCACCGCGCCGGATTTCTCCTGAGAGCCGGTGCGGATCGCGGATGCAGCTGTAAGGCTCTGCCGGCGGATCTGTGGCCTGGCGTATGCCAGGCTGCGGGTCCAAAGTGTCCCGGCGCGGCGCGCGCCACCGCCGAGGTTTGGAAATTCTGGCATTTTTTTTACAGTGTTACCGGAAAAAGAAAATGCCCGAAATTCTCTTGTCGCCCCCAGCTGTCGCCCCCTGACTGAGGCCGACAGCCGCCACGATGGGGAAGGGCAAGGCCGCGAAATCGCGCTTCTCGTCGCTCGACGTCCGTGCGATGGCCACGTCGCTCGAGCCGATGATCGCCGGCTACCGCATCACCAACGTCTACGACGCCAACCCGCGCACCTACATCCTCAAGCTCTCCAAGCCCGAAGCGCCAAAGCTGCTGCTGCTGCTCGAGTCGGGCGTGCGCTTCCACCTGACGCGGTACGCGCGCGACAAGGAGGGCACGCCGAGCGGCTTCACGATGAAGCTGCGCAAGCACCTCAAGGGGAAGCGGATCGAGCAGCTGCTGCAGCCGGGCGCAGACCGGGTGCTGGTGGTGGCGTGCGGCTCGGGCGAGGCGCGGCACCACCTGATCGTCGAGCTGTACGACAAGGGCAACGTCGTGCTCACCGACTGCTCCCACACCATCCTCACCCTCCTCCGCTCCTCCAAGCACGACAGCGAGGCGATGCTGCTGCCGTCGCCGTCGGTGCCGTCTCTCCCGCGAGCCTTCTTCCGAGCCGTCTTTGAGCCCTTCCCACAGGCGCGCGTGACGGTCAAGGAGGCGTACCCGCTCTCCGCCTCGCGCGAGCTGCCGCCGCTCTCCGAGGCGCGGGCCTGCCGAGCAGACGGGCGCTGCGATTCCCGGACCTTTCCCGGACCTTTCCCGGACCCTTCCCGGACCCTTCCTCCTGCAGGCGTGGCTCGCAGCCAAGATGGCGGCGGCAGACGGCTCGCAGCAGCCTCGGCGCCCTCCCCCCCCCCCCCCCCCTCCAGGACCCCACCCCCGGCCCCTTCTCCGACCGTTTTCACAGGCTCTCAGCAGCTCGGCGCCTTCCTCCTCCGCGCCGTCCCCCTCGGCAGAGAGATAGCGGAGCACGCCTGCGCCGCCGCAGACCTGCCGGCTGGCACACGGCTTGCGGCGAGGCCGTGGGAAGGGGAGGCCTTCGGGCGGCTGGTCGGCGCGCTGGAGGAGGCGCCTCGCACCCCCCCTCGCCTGCACAGTCGGGTTGAGAGAGAGAGAGAGGAGCAGCAGTCCTCCTCGTGAGCCTGCGACACGTGTGGGCGGCGGCGGCCCTCTTTCACACCTCCCCACACCTCCCCGTATCTCCCCACGTAGGCGGCGGCCCTCTTCGTCGACGCCCCCCCGCCCGTCCTTGCCGAAGAGGACGAGGCGGCGGCGGACGAGGCCGACTCCCCAGCTCACCCACCCGAGTCGCCGGCGGGAAGTGTGGCGGCGGGCGGTGTGGCGGCGGGCGTGGTGGCAGGGGAGGGGGCTGGCGAGCTGCGCGCGTCGACCGCGCCGCTGGGCTGGATCGTGCTTCGGGACGGAGCCGGAGGGGGCGGAGGAGGGGGGGGGGGAGGGGGTGGAGGAGGGGGTGGAGGAGGGGGGGGGGGAGGGGGTGGCGCGGGCGGAGGCCAGCAGGGCGGCGAGGGCGGCGAGGCTTCGGACGGCCGGCTCTTCCTCGAGTTCGCGCCGTACACGCTTGCGCAGCACGCCGGCAGGCGGCTGCTGCGGTACGCTGCCTTCTGGGAGGCGGTGGACGAGTTCTACGCAAAGGCGGAGTGGCGGAGTGGGCCGGGCGGAGGGCCGGGGTGCGGGCCGCCGGCAAGGAGCTGTGGCTGGTTGGGAGGGTAGGTGGAGATGGAGCGGGGCGTGGACGAGGTGAGCAGCAAGCAGGCGGCGGCGTGGAAGAAGGTGGACAAGGTGAAGGAGGCGCAGGAGCGGAGGGTGGGCGAGCTGCGCGCAAAGGAAGAGGAGGACCGGCGGCGCGGCGAGCTGCTCGAGCTGCGCGCGGGCGAGGTGTGAACAGCGTCTCTTCACACCTGCAGCTGTGAACAGGCGAGCTGCTCGAGCTGCGCGCGGGCGAGGTGGACTCGCTCCTCGCGTCGCTCCGCGCAGGCCTCGGCCGCGGGATGGCGTGGACCGCTCTGCAGGAGCTGGTCGACGAATCTGCTCGGGCGGGCGACCAGCTAGCGGCGATGGTGGTCCGGCTCGACTTGAGAGGTGTGGCCAAGGAGGTGTCTGGGAAGTGTCCAGGGAGTGTCTAGGTGGTCCGGCTCGACTTGGCTCGCCATTCGGTGACCGTGGCGCTCGAGGCGGACGAGGAGGCGAGCGAGGAGGAGCTGACTCGGCCGGCGACGCTCGTCCTTCTGGCTTGCCGCCTCTGGAGGAGGGCGCCCACCCCTCGACGCGTCTCTGTCCCTCTTCCTGCAGGCGACGCTCGTCGCGCTGGACGTGCGGGAGTCGGCCCTCTCCAACGCGCGCGCTTTCTACGCGCAGAAGAAGGCCGCGGCTCTCAAGACGGCAAAGACGATCGCCGCGGCGGACGGGGCGGTCCGGTCGGCCGAGTCGAAGGCGCAGGCGTCGGTGGCGGCCATCAAGGTGAGCGCCTCGATCCGGGCGGTGCGGTCGACGGGCTGGTGATAATAAAGAAAAACACTCCCACCATGCGGCAAGTGTTTTTTCTTTTTTATAGGTGCGGTCGACGGGCTGGTGGGAGAAGTTCGCAGAGGAACCTTCTAGGAACCTTCTAGGAACCTTCTAGGTGCGGTCGACGGGCTGGTGGGAGAAGTTCGCATGGTTCATCTCGTCGGAGAACTGCCTCGTCCTCGCGCCGCATGACGGGGCGCAGGCACGAGATCTGCACGAGATCTGCACGAGATCTGCTGCAGATCTGCACGAGATCTGCACGAGATCTGCACGAGATCTGCAGCAGATCTGCACGAGATCTGCACGAGATCTGCACTTCGGCCGCACGTCGGCTGCACTTCGGCCGCACCTCGGCCGCACCTCGGCCGCACCTCGGCTGCACCTCGGCCGCACGTCGGCTGCACTTCGGCCGCACCTCGGCTGCACTTCGGCCGCACCTCGGCTGCACCTCGGCTGTACCTCGGCTGCACCTCGGCTGTATCTCGGCTGTATCTCGGCTGCACCTCGGCTGCACCTCGGCTGCACCTCGGCTGCGCCTCGGCTGCACCTCGGCTGTATCTCGGCTGTATCTCGGCTGCGTCTCGCAGGCGGAGCTGCTCGCCCAGCGACACCTCGGGCCAGGGGACGTCTTCGTTGGCTGCGACATCGACGGCGCGCTGCCGTGTATCGTCAAGGCGAACGGCGCGGCGGCGGCGGTGCCGCCGCTCACTCTCTCGCAAGCTGGGTCGTACGTGCTCTGCCGCTCGGGCGCGCGCGGGCCTCTGGCGGTGTGACGTCCCTTCCCCCTTGGGCCCCCCTCCACCAGCCACTTTCCCGCAGGCGCGTGGACCTCTCGCACGGTCACGTCGGCGTGGCACGTGGCCCACGACCAGGTCCACAAGCAGAGGGCGACGGGCGACCGGCTGCCCGCCGGCCAGTTCGTCATACGGGGCAGCAAGGAGTACCTGCCGCCCACGCAGCTGCTGATGGGGCTCGGCGTCCTCTTCAAGGCGGTCGCGCGAGAGACCACCGCAGAGGAACCTTCTAGGAACCTTCTAGGAGCCTTCTAGGAGCCTTCTAGGAACCTTCTAGGAGCCTTCCAGGAGCCTTCTAGGAACCTTCTAGGCATGTCGTGACCACCGCTGGTTCGCAAGACGCAGCTCGGCTCGCCAGCGACTCTGACG